TCAATCAAGAAGCTGACAAGAACAAGTCATGGCTTCCACTTCGGACACCGGATCCTCAGCAGGAAATTATGTTGATCCGTTTGCCCTCCTTGAAATCTAAGACTCTGTTTTAGACACAATGATGAAAGTGAATGCAATAGAAGCTTCTGTGGCTGGACTCAACACAAGACTTGATGTCAAGGTTTCCAGATTGGATTCCAAACTTGATGTCGTACTTAACTCTCTGTCCACTACCAACACGTCCGGAACCACCATTGCTGAAAGAGAAGCTCAGCTGGATCAACTCATCTCTCTCAGGCTTAAGCATACAATCGAAGAAGTTTAACAAAAATATGATACTTCTGTCGATAACTACCTTGACACCATCACCAAGATGTTAAAGGTCCATGACGATATGCTTAATGCTCCCAACGAACTCATTAAGCAAACTCATATTCGTTATGAGAAGCAGATCTAGCGATTAGAGATGGAGATCCGAAAGAAGGATGAGATGAATCTCATCATGCAACAGGTCCTCATCAAGCTTCTCAGAGCATGTTGGAACATCGTGGATGTTCCGAACAACAAGTTCGATGAGATGCTCTCCATTCTCTCCCAACTGTTTGATCACCTCAAAGCTCAGGTTCCCACTGCTGAAGCCTACAATGCCCTCACTCTTCAGCTCAACACCAGTTTCCAAAAGGTGTTTGAAAAACTTTCGGACCTGAAGGAGTCTGCTTTGCTTGCATCGGTTTTCGGGCCACCCGTTGCAAGAGGGGGAGAAGGACCAAGTACAAGATCTCACCCATGGAAACCTGTCTCGATGTTTAGACTCCGAGATGAATCTGATGACTCATTGCAAATCCTTTCAGGTTCTCCCGGTGATGATGATGACAACAATGATGATGATGAGGATAGTGAAGACGAGGATGTGTTTGTAAAAAATGGAGTGTTAGGTTTCCAAGCTCCAAGGAATTTTCCTACTAAGGTCCTTACGGAGGAAGAACAAAGAATATGGTCAGCAGTATCATGGCCATCCACTGTGGCTGAAGTCCTTCACAAAAGCATAGAAATGGCTAAGGCCAAAAGCGGACTAACTGCTAATGCCTTCCGAGCCACTTCTTCGATGCTGCCTCTTATTCCGGCTCCAAAAATTGCTCCAATTGATGAAGGTTCTCCACTCCGGACACCAAATGATATTTCGGAAGAGCCCCTGCCCTCCTCTTCTCCAAAGTTTATGATCGATGAAAACATGCAACATATCCTCTCCACTCTCCAGAAGCAAAAAAGATAAGGGCAAGAAGCCCATTTTATAAGTCCTATTCACCGCTCCGCACTTGACTGAAAGAAGTGGCTGGTCCCAAGAAGAGATCAACATAGCCCTTGAATATAGCATCCGGATCCAATCCTTCAAGGATGATAATCCTCATCCGATGCTAGGGATCTCTCCTCTCTGTAGGGAAGAAATCTTGAAGGACGTTGATATAGTGCCTTTCATGTACTATGATCTTCCAAATCAAGATTCAGACCAGATTGACTTGCCTCTCTCTCCTTTCAGCAAGACCTACACCAAGTTTGCTCCTCTCCATCCGGAAGATGATCCTCGAATGATCATCCGAACTGAACGCGAAAGACTAAAGACTTTCTATTCGAATAATGCACTTCCTCTCAAAGAAGTCTGGTCTCGGAAAAGGATCACGGAAATTTCTTGTTTCGGAAGAAAGATCATGACTAAGTTTGAACTCCACTACGTGTTGTTCCGGTATCACATCTTCCGGAACAAACCAATTCAAAAAACCATTACTGATGCTGACTTCCCTGCCTTCAATCCAAATGACATCTTGACTATTGCTGCTCACTTCTGAAGCATTCAGTCAGATGATCTCAGTATGGGAGCTTATCACGCGGCTTTAGGCTTCCTAAAGGAATACGTTGCTGAATTCTGCCGATGTGACTATGAATTGGCCCATCTGTTCGGAACAGAAACATATTTGGCCAAAATCGACTTTAAACTGCCAGAAGCTGAAATATTGGCAGAGGGCCCCATCGATGGCCAGTGCTTGGTTTTGTCTATCATCAAAGGAAAACAAATCAGAAGGACTTTTTCCGAGTTCAAGACAAACACCTGGTTCCCACCAAGGCACTTCAGAAGTTCATAAGTCGAGCATCCAAGACTGAAGCACCGAAGCACGTGAAGTCTAAGTTCGTCAGTCAGATACAATGGTACATTGGAGTCCGAGAATGGTTATACATGTTCGGTTTTAAGTACTATAACACTCCTATGGTGCACATACAACCCTAATGCTTTGGATCTAAGTTTTCTCTAGTTATACATGCAATATTCTTTTTCCAAAGCATGAAGCCTAACTAGAATACAAATTTGATATTTGAATCATAAAAACTAGTTAGATGATTCCCTCTTGATGTAGCTTGTAGAAGTTGGCCTTTCAAGAGCTTAGAACCTCAAGTGTGATGCCTCAAATGTGTCACAAACACCAAAAACAATGGAGGACAATAAGAGAGAGAGAGAGAGAGAGAGAGAGAGGCTAGGAACCACCAAAATCAGCTAGGGTTTCCTTATGGAACACAAGTCCCAATTTTAGGGTGGAAGGGGTTACATATATAGTGTAGAATTCCAATAGTCACTTGTAAACCCTAATTCTTACACTTAGGCTTATGATCCAATAAGTGATTTGGACTAACACTCCATGGACTCTCACATAAGCTTAGTCCATTACCAATCAATCATGGATCATTAGCCCAAACTATATGTATCACTGATTTACATAATCAGTCCCCGTTAATTTAATTAGTCTCTTTTGATCACTAAATTAATTCCAAATTAATTCTTTATCAATACCAATTAAATAATATGATTTCTCAATTAATATATTATACTTATAATATATTAATAAATCACAAATAACCTCTTTCTCTAATATCCATCCTATCAAATTGCTTCGGTGAAGGCAACCCAAAATGGACCATGCTACTCTCGGGTCAAGTACATACCAATTATAGTTATGGGCTTAGACACCTAATCCAAAAGTCTCCCACTTGGATAAGTCTAATAACTATAACTGCAAGTGCGACTTTAAAAACCGACTAGAAATCGTAGCTCTCAAAAGCCGTTGTCAAACTCTGACGCGTCCATTAGATAAGGGATCATATATTCCTCCATTCTACAAGATATCGTACGGACTGAGACATGGATTTATAATCATTCTCTCTGTCCAAATTCTGTTTCCCGATTTTTTATTTTTATGATGACTGACTAATTGAACAAATCAAATCAATCCAGTCTTGGCCAAGCGCTTAGATTTGTCATCATTAAATCATCGAGGGGCCCATAGATATCACTTTTTTATCCCTCTTAGGGTAAATGGAACAGATAAACTTCAACTCATATGCCTTCTCTATTTACTCATCAAATCACACACAACAATACGTTTTATAACACCAAGTTACTGGTGCGTTTACGTATCATCAATGTGCAATCGACTTGTAAACTACAACTATATGTCTCCGTTTAAAGAATATAAGATATTATCGTCTCACAATCACTCGTGATAAAATCCATGAAGTGATTTAGATGAGCGTGGGTTTAATCCAATACTCAAATCTTATTACAGGAGTACTCATGAACACTGCAGCAAACTTGTGTTATGTATAAACACTTAGACAATCTACAGACGGATTCATGACAGTCTTACCTCATTACTTACTTCCAAAGTATGATTGACTGTGGATGTTTAAATAACCTAGTTATTCGGGAAGTAAAACATGCGAAGTGAAACACAAGAATAATCGAATCCAATATGGTCTCAAAACGTTTGAATATAAATAAAACTTTATAATTTAATCACCATATGGATTACACATTATTCATTGTACAATGTTTCGACTAATCAACTTAATACTTGAACTAAAAAAATTGTTTTCCCATGCTCCGAGCATGCACACTATGTTTACTTATGGTCCTTTCTTTGTGAAATAGATTAATTGAAAACATTTCCAATGTCGCTCATTTCACAATTCCAAATCGTAAGTGTAAGAATACGAAATTCTTGCTACTATTAGAATGTGTTGGATTCTAAACTATCATGCAATGATCCGTTTGTAATGTCAATGCACTAAAGTCACAGAGACTTGGAAAATGATATTACAAAGTACTCCACTGGAGAGTGTTACAAGACAATTCAACAAACACGAAGTCTCACATTCAAAGTACATTCCTTTGAACATCCTTTTTGCATGCAAGTTTCTAACTTAGACATAGATTCTTAATATCCAACTCCCAATATGGAAACATTTCCATATTTGCCATATGACAATCCATTCTTAATAGAGTCCTATCTAATCATAATTATGTCAATATGGTCCATCCATTACTATACTTCCAACTGTCCATAACACTACTAGAAAAAACTGCCTTTTACGACGCGCAATGTGTGTCATAAAACGCTAAGACGACGCGCAAATGCGTGTCAAGGAAGGCCCTGTCATAACGAGAGACGACACGCTTTTGCGCGTCGTCTGTAGACGACGCGCGTTTATGACACGCATTTACGACGTGCGTTTACGACGCGCAATGCGTATCAGGGAAGCCCCTGTCATAAAGGAAGACGACACGCATTTGCGTGTCGTAACCTTACGACGCACGTTTAGGACACGCATTGCGTATCATTAAATCCCCTGTCATAAATGAAGATGACACGCATTTGCGTGTCATAAACTTCAGCAACCATTTACGATATACATTTACGACGCGTCTTTACGATACTCATTTACGCATAATACGAAAATATGGAAACAAATATATACCAAAACAATCAATTTCATCCATAACATCATGTCAAAAAATTGTAATACATTGGTATTTTGGGGATCCGATTGTACATTGTTATTAAGAGGTTTTACCTAACTATATAACCTAATACTACATTGCTATTATGGAACACCTTCTTGTTTCTACTTCTTATTGTTATGCTTCTGTTTCTACATGATACCTGTTTTCATCATCAACACATTAGTAGTAACATACCTTTTTCCAAGAATCCAAGCTTCAATACAGCCCATACCTGTACAAAATAAAATACAATAAATAAGAAAGATAATTCATTCCAAAAGCATGTAGTTACAACAAAAGAATTGAAAATTTCCAGAAAAGAGTCAAATACACAAAACTCACATGGAAAACAATAGAGGAATTGAAATTTTCCAAAAAAAAAATGACAGTAAAGGGGACTGAACCAAGTTGCAAAGAGATGCCATCTTTAGTCACCACAATTGTATGGGCTCTCCAATAGTAGTAAAGTATGTTTCCCATAAGCTACAAAAAATAAGTAATCAAGTTAGAGAAGAGGGACATACTATGAATGGCAATAATATGTATTTGCTACATGTTGAAGAAAAAAAGATTAATTACAATTGAGTTAAAAAGGTTTAAATACAAAAAATTAAAAATTAAAAAAAATACCTTTCCAACACAATTTGAGATCCAGGGGCAATGATGGTCAAACTGTTCCACACAACGTTTGCATGCAGGACAATGTTTGGAGCGAATGGGTCTTATTATCTAGATAAAAGGATAATTAAATATTAATAATAATATATTTAAAGTGTGATTAAAAAAGAATTAAAATAAAGAAATTAAAGAAAGTCTTTTTTAACAAACCTTGCAAGTAGGACATAATTGAGACCAATTTCCACTCTAATAAGCAGTGTTAGTCAAATCAATGGTCAACAAAGGACCCTATTTTAAGTCACAAGAAGAATTATAAAACAGTCAGTATATTTATTTAGCACTAATTCTTGAGTAAGGATAAAATGGTCCTTTACCCTCATTGCAGCTAAATCACCTGATTCTTATTCTCATTCTCAATCATGAATGTTTACAACAATTATTTTGAAAACGTACATTCAAAACCCCATAAATCTATTTACTAATTTCTGAAAGAGGGTAAAATGGTCATTTACTAATTAATCAGCAAGAAAGCATACCTCGGCATCATCAATATTCTTTATCCCTCCCGACATATTCACATAACCAGGATCTTTACTGAAAAAGTTATGAACAAAAAAAATAGTCAACATTAACCAACACTATTAAATTTGTTGTATTTCTTGAAATATTTCAAAAAATAAAAAATAAAAAATATACCTGCTACAACGGATAAACATCAATAAAGAAGCGATTGAAAGGGTAACAAATGTCCATCCCCAAAGCCCAACAATAGCATTGGCCTTAACAAGATTAGAAGCTAAAATAGATGAAAGAGGGAAGATCTTGATTAGTAATTTAGTATAGTAAAGTAAATCCTTTTAAGATGATTAAATAATAATATAAATTATTGATACCTACCAAAAAGAATGGAATTGATGAAGATTAATGTGCTGACAAATACTAAACAGAACAAAAAGGGGCGTAGCCTATATCCCCGATTTTTTTAATCCAAGGTTTGTCTTTCCAACAACTGTTTTGTGCACGATCTGCATTAGACTGCTTAAATTTCATAAAAACAAAAAGATATTTATTATAAATTTTCATAAATGGTAAAAGAATTATGAGAAAGAAAAAGGAAACATACAAGGATCAAAGAAACATGGCGATGGCCTCTATCTGCTGCAATTTGTGCAGGTGTAAATCCAGCACTATCTTTGGTTGGTCAACAAATAAGTACAAGATTACAAGAATAGTACCTCTAGGAGGAATCAATAGCAGCAATAACACAGATCATAAAAACAGCCTGCATGAAATTAAAAAAGGTCAACAGAAGCATACAGATCCCCACCAAATCAAATTGAGTCCAAAAACATGATGAATGTTACACAACTTCTACATAAATTTGCCATTGTAATGTCATTAAAAATTTAAACCGGTCGGATAAGAAAAAAGAGCACATGGTTGACATATAGAAAATTATATTCAAGAATGAAAATAGAAGTTGTAATATTCAAGTAGAGTATTAAGCAAAATAGAAATTAAACTACACCAACATGTATAGATAAGTTTACTCACTTGAACATAATTCATAAGTGGAACTGTCTTCCACAACATGAGGCATATCATAACCTATAACACAGCAGAACATATATAATAGTTACCCAAAATGCCCTTTCTCCAATTGATATTACAATAAATGATAGTACGTATATTCAATGAAAAAAGCACCTAACTTTAAAGAACATACCTTGCTGAAGTAACCAGCCAACAAAGCACTATGGGAACGGGTGGGCTCCAAGAATGAGAAAAGTAGATCCATTAGCTGAAAGTTTTGGGTTTGAAGAAGGAAATCATGTGAGAGAATGTAATAAAGAATGTATTTATGTAAATATAGGGAAGAGTGCTCAGATCGCCAATTGCTCATTCTCTTCCATCTGAGCCCTAACTCTTTTAATTTCTTGTGAAACTGTCTCCATTCTCTACAGACAATAACAATTCAAAATCGAACATGAATATTTCTTCACAGACAGAACACATAACTAATAACTTACATGTAAGAATTGAAAGCAAGAGAAAATATTAATGTACGGTGGAAGTGCTGTTGATTAAAGATCCATCGGCGATTCTTGACGTTCTAGGATCGGGTGCCTTGGGCTTCGGTTCAATTGCGACAGCACGAGTCACACCATTCAGTCAGTTAACCCTAAAAATGCTCGGAAAGGAATGACGACCGGCGGTGAATCTGGTACTACAATCGTTAGAAGCTAACGACCGAGAGGCTGCTTCCATGGCGGAATTTGTGAGACTTGCCATGGGCATAGTGAAATTGTTACGCTCTTACCAAAATGCCCAAATAGTGAATTAAATACATGCGATTAGGGAAGGAAAGATGTGAAAGCGTAAAAGGCAATACTTAGGGTTCCAGTGGGTTTTCTAATTTTTTGGGTTTCTAATCGATGCAAGGAGGTCAATAGATGTTTTCAGACTGAAATCGTAGATTAGAGAGCCGAAGAGGAGAGAATCACAGAAGGCGTGAAGTGTGGATTGAGTTTTTAGGGTTCAATGGTGGTGGCGATGGCTTAGGGTTTACAGAGAGAAGGAAGGGAGATACAAAGAGAAGAGAGTGCAGAAGCGGGGTAGTTTAAAATTTTAGAATTTGAGAGGATTTCATTTTCCCCCTTTACAAACTCGTGTTCCAGTAAAAAATTATAAAGCGACACTTGTAGATGACACACATTTAAGATAAGCGCCTTTCTTGTTTGTATTTTTTTTTTTTGGACATTAATTTTAGGGCACACAAAAATGTGTGTCCTCTATCCTTCAAATTTTGCAAAACTGACATTATTTTTTAGGGCACACACAAATGTGTGTCCTCTATCAGCGCGTGTCATTGTTTGTGCGTCATTAAAGGTTTGTTTTCTAGTAGTGATAAGCAACCATTCTTTGGTGAACCTTGGATTGTCCTTGACAATTGTTTAACAGCTTTAGTCATTACCGTTCTAGTCCCTTTTCCCTCTTAATGCCCTGGGCATTTGGAAAATTAGAACAAGTGAATATTACATCATATGCAATCGATCCTATACCCGAGGCTTATGGGATACGATTCATAATGTCTTACATAAAGACATGATACTTTACCAGTCTCTCACTATAATATCTCCATATATAGAATTTCCAATGTTGAAGCATTTCAACATAACATTCATATATTTTTCCATGACTAAGTTCCATTAATATTTAAATCCAATCTTTTAGATTTGTAATAAAGTATAAGTTCCTCTCCCTTAGTTATAGCGAAACAACTTTTCAAACTCTGCAACTTTGCAAAATTGTAACCTCTGTTTCCTATAATTAGTATTGCTAACTTGCAACACTTAAGGTTATAATTGTCCTCCCTCTAGTACAATAATTACTTCTTACTAGCATAACACTTATGCTCCCACTAGCTTTGACATGTATCCAAAGATCAGCTGGACTTCTAGAAATCAATACTTATTGACTTTCTTACCAAAGTTCAGATTTCTGATCCAAGATGCTTCGATAATACTTTATCTAGGCTTCTCAAACTCATACACCTTTCATTAGACAACTCATATGTGTGTCTAAACTATTTCAGAACTCACAGCAGTAAGTTCTGAATGTTCATACTATTTACCATTTCTCACAATTCGAACAATGAAGAGGGATGTCGTAATCATACTCGAATTTGAGAACGTAATTAACACAACTGCCAACTCTTTGAAATCTACTTAGTGAAAGCGCTTCCTCACAATCATTTTCATGAAGCGGAGAGAAACCTTTGCCACTTAGATTTTAATGGTGTATGTGTTCCTATCCATGTGAATTTGTCATAACCATAATCATAAGACAAGGTTTATGACAAATCCAAACTCATATGGACTGAACTTGTTTAATCTAAATTTCTTGGCATCTGGTAGCACAAGGGTCCTACCATTGCTTCCAAGTTATGGAGCAGCTCACCCCTACAGATCAATGTACTTTCCATTGATCAAAGGTGCTTTGCCTTCTGCATTCAAATGAGAACTCATAGAACTCACATGCATAGTCAACTTAACTGGAATAGACACAGAAACAAGAATATGTCAACACAATAGGTTATAAACCTCAAGTCGTGTGCTAGTTATAACTAAAGGTTTATTCTTGATTAGTTCCCGAAACTATTCAAGACAATTAAGACTCCCACTGACCTCTTGGCATATAAGATTCTTTGTCAAGGAACATTTCTTGACAAACAAATATTCAAGAGTTAGTGCGGGTTCTTATCAAGAAAAACCCTTCATATAATTGGTCTTGGTTGATCTTTGTTTTATCCAAAACATCTTAACTACCAATTTCAAATGTGCAAGGATAAGAAACATTTCTACTCCACATTTCATGAGGTGTTATAAACCTACTTAGAACATGTCACTCAAGGTGCAACTTGGAGTGTGACTCTAAGACTCGATTTTGGAACGAAGTATGACTCACCTTTTTTATTTAACCATTTCAACAATTCCCGATTCCTCTTCTTAGCCATACAAATTCACCAAGGTGTCTTTAGAGGATCAATTGTGATATAGTTCCATAATCAATAAGATGATCATAAAACACGATACTAAAGTACTTTCCTTTTCTTTCATATTGGAGAAATCGTTTATGTTTCTACCTAATTTGATTCTTCTTATTCGTTCTGCTATACTTTGAATCCTTTCAAAGTGTCAGACTTATACTTAATCTTGTAAGTATAATCGTATTTACTGAACCATTAGTAAATCATGACGAATAGTCTTTATCATTGTTTGTGGTGAATCTGATCAGTTCACATCAATGTATACTAGATCCTTTTTATCTTTCACTTGACTTACATACTTATGTAAACAAGGAATTAGTCCCAATTTTCCCAAGTACCAAGATTTTCATACATCACATGATTCAAGTCATATGATTCCAAGTTTCTATCCAATTGAAACTTGGGCGATGAGAATCTTTCCTCACTTAGAAAATTTGGACACTGCCACAATTAATATAGCCAAGAATCAAACCATTTTCAACATTGCTATTAATGGAAACACATATAAACAACAATTTTCACAAATGTTATTGTAAGGAAACATAAAATAAGATAAAATCAAAATTTTCTTTATTTATAAAATGCGGAAAAAAACTTGTCCTTACAACGCAAATTCATATGAAAACTATGTTCCTAGACATTCCTAAGCAATCTAGCATAACTCCTAAGCAATAGCTCAAAAATCTGATCATTGAACCATGCGATCTAAATCCATCTCTTCGCGACCAGACTCGGCTTACTCTTCCTTTAAGCTTCCTTTCTTTTCTTTGATCCTACAAAACATCAAAATGCAATCTTATCACATCATGTATTAAGAATCTATAAATAGGAACTTAATAGAGTTAGATAGTGGACTTACCTGAAGTTGAGTCATACATTTTGACTTTACCGTCCTTATGATCCTTCAGGTAGATACGGCAGATTCGTATCTAATGCCCCTTCTCTGGGCAATAGAAACAAACAGACTCTTTCGGAATGGGACAATCTCAGACTTAGCCTTTCTCTTTACCATTTAGTCAAACGGTTTGACCTTGGCAGATCCCTTTCTATTAGGAAGCAAAAACTTTTCTGGACTTCCAATGTTGCCATTTTCAATGTCCACGGAAGTTTGGGAGATTGAGCTTCCAATCCAATTTGCTTTACCAGTGCGCCAAATCATTGCTGATTTAGCAGCAATTAGCAAATATGTTAGATCAATAAGGGTCACGTCGTGATCTGTCATATAGGAGTCTTTAACAAACTGACCATACGACTCGGGAAGTGATTGAAGAACCAAGTCAACAGCCAGTTTCCTTGGGAAGACGACACCCAACATTCCCAGCCTGTCAATATGCAACTTCATCTCCAAGACGTGAGCACATACAGACTTTCCATCTTCGTATTTGCTTGTCAATAGGGCTTGAGTGACCTAGAAATTTTCAAGTCGACGAACATGTGGGTCAGGGAGAGTAATTGGAGGAGGTGGAGGAAGTGAAGTATGATTTCCATTTTTACGATTGAAACGTGGAACATCATCTCCACGAGGAAATCTATTTCCAAATATTCGGGAAGACCATAGTGTCAGAATTAGACATCTACAAGGGGAGAAATTCAAGTTGGTTGATTTAATCCTTAATATAACACCCAAATGAAATATTAAGGCTAGGACCCAACACAATAATTTACAATTCGGAACAGGGATGCCGTAATCCAATTGCAAACTATTTGTCGGTAGGTAAATGACGATTTACCAATTCCACCATGAAAACGAAATTTAAATGAATAAGGTTTTTAAATGAAATTCCTAGATCTTTTGAGATTCATTGAACTTTTCAATGGCATGTTTAATCTCGATTATGCTCCTCAAGTTTGTGACTGGGATACCGAGGATCACAAACAAGGTGTGAATAACCATGCAAATTAGCTTGGTACTCTCGATGTCATTAATCATCTAATCAATGTGCCGGTTAACCACACACGCTCCATTGATCAACGATAATTTACGAGAAACCCATTGCCATCCTTCATTAGTCCACATTAGTGTGTCGGTTAACCACACACGCTCCACTAGCTGACCAATAAGGTGCAATGTGCAATTTCATGGGTTAGCATCAAATTCACATTTTCCTAAAGTAACTAAGATTGGGAATTTATAAAAGGTTTAGTTACTTTATATTTCATTATACTTTTAATGAGGATTTAAATGTCCTATCAAACCCGTTCGGCTAACAACCCTCCACTGGTCAAGGGTGCGGTGGGTAAGAGTGTAT